GAGCATCTGGTGGATTTGAACCATGCGCCTCTGGGATTGCAGTGCAGCTTCTTGCCACTAGGCCACCAGAGCTCCCCTTGTTTTCTTTTTACATTTTCTGTTCAGCTGATGCTGTGAGTTCAATACCAGTTCTCCAGCTACATCAGTTTTGAGTATAAAGCCTACCATGGAACCGCAGATCTCTGACAGTGGAAGGCTTAAACAGGAATGGATGCTGTTGGAGTCACGCTGATTCCTTTGCTGGGACATATGAGTATCCATCTCCCTCCGCTCAGATGATTTCTTCCACATGTTAGAACAGTAATGCAGTAATGGTTTTAGTCTCCTAACCAAATTAGAGTGACGACATCAGCCACGTAACACACATACATGCTCCTTTTTTTAAAAAAAAATCTCTGCATCTTGTAACTATTCTTTTGTAAACTACTTTCCAGTTTCTAAAAGCAGTTATTGTCCAAAGCTAGAAGAACGTAAGTCTTCTCAGGTGAGCATGTGAATGAATTGGAGAGAGGTAACCACAAAATAAAATGAAAAAGAGATGAAGTCTGATAGAGGAGCAGATGGATAAGAAAATCAAAGAAGGAACAGTCATTTAAACCATTTTTTTCTATTTTTAAGAGCTTGCTTTTTTGACAGAGGCGTGTGTGGAAGGGGTTGGCGTTGCCTTTTTATTTCTCTGGTAGCCAGGTTTGGGACATTACTCATCAGGGAGTAAACAGAATACCCCCGTCACCGGAATAAGCCTGCAGGGGAAAAACTTCTCTGAGAGAAGGAAGTTCATGACCGTCTGTGGCCTGAAGGTGTAGAAGGAAGTGGGGTGACGTCTGAAGGCTGGAACAAACCGGTTTTTTTGGCCCATGATCTTCCTTCACTCTGAGGTCACCTGGACAGTGTTTCAGACTCGGAAGTAAATTGAGCCTTGAGTCGTTGGTGCTGTGAGCGGGAGTTCACTTGACTGTGTACTTGGCTTCTGTCCTGCAGGTTGTCAGTTTGAGTTCACTTGGGTCCCACTGGAGAGCTGGTGTAGCTGTTGATGTCTGGACAGATAGCCCCTGCCAGCGCCTGGTCCTGCTCTAACACACGGGTTTCCTGTTTGTTTTCTTGGAACTGTGCTTGTACCCTGAGTGGAAGTGCGTTTTCTTTCATGGGTCAGTGAGGCCGTGAGTGTAGAAGTCAGAGCTCCCAGCTGCCCCACCATTGACTTTCTGAGTCTGTCGGTCGCACCAGAAGACATTGCCCATCTTTGTCGCGAGGGGTGGATTTGAACCTCCAGAGAGGCATGGCCTTTGTGTTAAAGGGTGCAGCTCCCTATGGACTGTGCGCCCCAGACCCCCATCGTAGTGTAGTTGTGTACTGTCCAGTTGGAACCGACCCACAGCTGACCCTCCAGCGGGTTTTCAGAGGGAGTAACTGCATGGGAGATGGCCCATCCATGCATGGGGCAGCCGGTGGATTTGAACCACGTGCCCTCAGGATTGCAGCGCAGCTTCTTGCCACTAGGCCACCACCAGGGCTTTGGATGCTGTTGTTGGGAGGTGCCCTCAAGTTGACTGTGACTCACAGCGACCCTGTGAA